AAGTGAGTAACTGTGCGAGAAACCCTTGGGTGGCCGACTCCTTCCCCCAGCTAAGAGGCAGGTCTGGAGGACCAGGAGCCAGAGGGGGAGGCAGGACTGCAGTGTGGAGGCGGGGCAGTGGCAGCCGGCATGGTTCACCTGGCCTTCCCGCCCGCCTGCCCGCCCGCCCTTCCTGAAGATGGCTGCGGAGGCCTAGGGCCCGGGCTCCCCGGGGCTGCACCGGGCTTGGAGACGCAGGTCACCTGCCGCCGCGCCGCCTGCCCGCAGCAGCCCGCGGGGACGCGCGCCGCGAAGAGCGGAAGGTCTGGACGGGGCTGGCCTGGTCGGAGGGGCTGGGGAGGGAAGGTCGCCTAGGCTGGGCGCCAAGGAGCCTCCTGCTCTGGCGCCGCCCCAGGTTCTCGGATGCAAAGGGGCGGCGTGAGATGCTCGCGAGGCTGTGGCTCCATGGTGCGGATGGGCATGGACCCTCCTTGAAACCTGATGAAGATCAGTCTCCCCCTACCCCCTCCCCGAAATGCTCACCGGCCCGCTCTTGTGTGCAACTTCGATGCAGTTTCGTTTTTGTGTTTTTTTTGTTTTGTTCATTTTAGCTCATCATAAGCCCAGAGATTCAAGAAATCCTATTAAAGGAAGTTCCTAACCTAAGCAGACAGTACACCCCTGCTGTGGTTTGTTTGGTGCAAGAGCTGGAAACAAAACCAATACCAAGAAAGGACGGAGGCCAGCCAGTATCATAGGCTGATTCCTTCCTTCCTTTGTGCTTCTCAATGCCAAGGTGCCAGCCCGAGTTGGACGCTGGGTTATGAACAGCGGTAAACAAGAACAGGGCCCCTGTGGTCACGAAGACAACATCCTTGTGGGAAGGCCTGTCATTAACCAAAGAAACGTACTATTAAAGGAATCCTTAAAAACTAACAAGGTCTATGAGAACCTGATCCCTATGAGGGATCAGGGTATAGTCTGGGAAGTTTTGCCCAGGGAAGTGGCATCTGAGCTGAGCCCTGAGGATGACATCAGGCAAAGAGGAAAACAGCACGTGCTAAGAGGTCTCTGCAGAAGGGAACATGGTACCCCGGAGGAACTTAAGGAAGGCTGGTGTGGGCAAGGATCAGAGAACTAGGGGGAGATTATGGAAAATGGGGCTCAAGAAGGAGGCAGGGGTCGTATCATGCAGGGTATTTATAGACCAGAGGCCTTCAAACATTTTTTGACAAAGCCCATAATGCAAAAACGTTTCATGAAATAATTCTAATGCTTATAATCAGCATTGCAATTTCATATTTTTGCTCTATTCTACTTCACTTTTTTTAAAGAGTGCTGGTGGTGACCCACAAAATGTTTTTATGACCCACTAATGGCTCATGGCCTGCCGTTTGGGAAGAATACTATAAATCATGTTGGGGATTTTGATCTTTCAGTGGTGGTGACACAATCCTGTTTGCTTTCTGGGCTGAGACTGGTGGATTGAAGTGGCCCAGGATAAGTGGGGGGAATAAAACCATAATTGCAATAATCCAGACGAGAGATGGTAACTTGGACTAGGATGGTGGTAAGCGGGGATGTGGCCAGGGCAGCTCCACAGGCTAGGGCCTTTACTGAATACCTTAGCATGTCATCTGTTTTCCCAGCGTGCCACTTGAGGAATTGAGGACCAGAGCTGTGGAGACTTGCCTAAGATGGCACAGCCAGTGAGTCCTGAGCCAGGTCTGAACCAGGTTTCTCTAATTCCCAAGCCTGGCCTCTAGGTCCCAGCACATCTGTAAGGTGTGCCTATAGAATAGGCGACTCATTTTCTAGAGAACACTCTTTGTAGTTTAAGAACAAATTCCTGGGCTGGGTGTGGTGGCTCACACCTGTAATCCCAGCACTCTGGGAGCCTGAGACAGGCGGATTGCTCATGGTCAGGAGTTTGAAACCAGCCTGAGCAAGAGCGAAACCCCGTCTCTACTAAAAAAATAGAAAGAAATTGGCTGGACAACTAAAAATATATAGAAAAAATTAGCCAGGCATGGTGGCGCATGCCTGTAGTCCCAGCTACTCGGGAGGCTGAGGCAGGAGGATTGCTTGAGCCCAGGAGTTTGAGGTTGCTGTGAGCTAGGCTGATGCCATGGCACTCTAGCCTGGGCAACAAAGTGAGACTCTATCTCAAAAAAAAAAAAGAAGAAGAAGAAGAAGAAATTCCTTACAGGTTTGGATGCCTGAAAATGTTGCCTACATTTGGTTCCTGAAATGAAACCTAAATTTGTATCTTAATTAAAAATTTAAAAAAGACATTTAGTGGGATATCACAAGAGAGGCTAGACTTAAAGTGCCCTTTGATCTGCATGATGACCCTGGTCATCTGATACTGGTATCTGAGTCAAGTCATCTCACCCTTTTAGACCTCAGTCATGTCTTCTCATAGAAATGATGCCTCTCCTGGGGTGCTGGGAGGATTATAGATTTTATAGGAACTTTTAGTATTCATATTCTTTTATCATATTGATTATAGATGTTTCCCACTGTCAATTGATGGTGTCAACCATAAAGAACTACATAAACAGAATGAAATAACTAGAAATCAATCCTCTGTGCTCTTTGAACATGTATTTATTAATATTACAGTACTTTATCATGTTAGGGTATTAATGATTCCTGTGTCTATCTTCTCTACTAAATCATACACTTCTGGGAATAAGGGCAGTTGGTGTTTCTTTAGCCTCTTGACCCCAGTGGCTACCACCAGTCTGGAGTGATTAAATGTAAAATATGATGATTATGTTATATTTTAACAAAAGCAAAATATAACACAATTGCACAATATACACAAATATAACACAATTACTGGCCTTTATAAGTAGAATATATAAAGGACTTTAATTTACTGTTTCTCAAAATTTATTGACCCCTCCCCCCCTACCTTTGATAAGCATAAATATCTCTGCCACCTCTCCCCCACACCCTGTGACAGATTCTAGTTTTCCCCGAGCCCCGAATCAGTGACTGACACATATATACAGTGAATATTTGCACATCCCACAGCCAGGATGATTTTGTCTACTTTATTTTCTTTAGTTTATAGTACAAGACAACAGAGGGGTTTTTTAATGTGCTTGCCTTGCAAAGATAAATTTGTATTTAACTTACTTGTACAAATTACAAATGTTCTTACCCCAAGATTCTGGAACAAATTACATAAAAGGGTAGGAGTGTTTGATCTAATAATAGTATCTGCTAACTGCTCATGCTAGGGAAAGACTGTCTTTAGTAGCATCTGTATGTGCCATCCACGTATGTCCATCAGTAACTCACTGATGTCTCTCCATTGGGTCACCTTTAGTTCCTTTTCTCTCCACTGAGTCTCTTCTCACAGGGGAGGTTTGAAACCAGACCCTCTTAGGGGTCTGCATTCATACCCAGCCTATCCCAACATCAGTCAGTAGCCTTTGACAAAGGCCTAAAGAGGAAAAGTAATGGCTGATGTGGAATGAAATGACATTTGACATGCACTTCTGTGGTTTGGTGGGTTCTGTCCCAAGTTGTTTCAAAATATGAACTCAACTAGACACTGTTCCCCTGCTTCAGTGCTCTGATGACAATTGTGCCCTCGCCATTACACCTCCAACCAAGCATGCCCAGGTTTTATCCTGTCATCCCTTCCAATCCACTCTTCAGCAGGGGTGAATTTCCAACATAAATCTGGTGATGTCACCCTACCCCAGCAGCCCCTCACTCTCTCTCCATCCATCCTAGGGTGCAGCCTGACTCCCTGACCCCTGAAACCTAGCCCTCCCTCTAAGGCCTCATCTCTCACCACACCCGCCTTGCCCCCATCTCTAAGCAGCATTCAGCTTCTTGCACCTCCATGAAACCGTGTAAAGCTCTCTCTTGTCCTTGAACTTCTTTCCATCATAAAGGAACCTGTCCCTTTGCCTGGAATTCTCACCGCCCATTCCCATCCCTTCGCTCCTTCCATCTAGCCTTTATATTTACAATCTGGCTATTCCTTCCTCCGTCACCCACCTTCCCGACAAGCATGCCCTCACCCTTCACCCTCTCCTGCTCTACGTGAGGCTAAGAGCTCCTTCTAATTGTACCTGTGAAGCCCAGTGCTTCCCCTATATCATAAATGTATCCTTCCCCCTTAGACATAAACATAAGGCCTGCTGTAGAGCAAGTATCCATTACAGTGAGTAGATAAATGAAAGAAAAAACCCTCCCTCCATGAAACTTCATTTGGGTTCTCATTGCTCTAATGCATTCATTCATTCTCAGAATGATTTTTGAACATCTACCGTGAGCTAGCAATGGTGCTAGATGCTGGATATTAAGGGGAAGCAAAGCTTAGCCTGGCTCCTGCTCTCATGGCCCTCAGTTCCAGCACATCTCAGTGCCACGTGGGCACCCAGAAGAGAAAGCAGAAGTTAACTGATCCTCTGCAAAATGCTCTGCCTTTGGCCAGGGAAGGGCAATGCAGGAGAGCCTTCATGTAGCCAGTGAGCTCTGTAACATTGACAAATGCTGGATCCACCTCCATTCCAGCACGAGACTGACACAGACCTTTGCATTACAGAACTAGAAGTGTGGTAGGGAAGAAAGACAAGCAATTGCAGTATCGTGTGAGAAATGCTCTGATAAGGGATGTACAGTGCAGAGAAGAAAAACATAGGCTAATCTGGGGAGAAGCTCTGGAAAGACAATGGGAATAGTGGAAAATCATAATTATGAGATGTGTTGAAACATGACTCGAAAACTAGAATAATTAATGTCCAGGCCCCTGAAGCTACTTCATTGGCTCTCCTCTCTTAGGTTTTCTAGCACTTACAAGAAATTGACAAATGATGGGGAAGTTAACCCAATTTGGATTACTGGGAGCAGTGAGGAAGCTGATGAGTAGCTCCTATTTGAGTTAGAATGCCTGATTTATTTTCCTAATAGTGACCAAACCAAAGAGAGCCTGCCTCAGGTGGGAGGCTCAGCCACAGGTGGGAGGCAGAAAGTGATTTACTGAGTCCAGAGAGTTATTGATGGGTAAGCAGCAGGAGGTTGAGTCATGCTTGCCTGAAATTGTGGGCTGAGCTGGCTTCCTTCTAGCAAAGTTAAACTTTGGGTGATGTTTAAAAGTCACATGAGTTGTTGTTTAATGGGTATAGAGATTCAGATTTGCAAGATGAAAAGGTTCTTGAGATCTGTTTCACAACAATGTGAATATACTTAACACTTAAAAATGGTTAAGGTGGTAAATTTTATGTTTTGTTTTTTTAACCACATTTAAAAAGGTAGAAAAAAAAAGTAATACCAGGCAATTTCAGATCTCTTAGAGGAAGCCCACATGCATCTACATGCACATCCACTCTTCTCTCTCTCCCCACCTTAACCTGCACTAAAATACACCTGGCCCATAGAACTACTCAGCACTTCTGGAACATTCGACTGTCTTTTGGATATTTATCCAGTTGTTAGGAAACTTTTAATACTCCAGGCAGGAATAACTTTCAATCTTTTCATGCAGACAAATATCTAAAATAACTTTTCTGAAACTTTTATTTGGTTGTCCCTATCTATAGGGAGAAGACTATCGTGGTTATGAGCTTGGAATCTGGAACTAGACTACCTGGGTTCACATCTGGCTCCCATTACTGGGGTGACATTAAGCAAATTGTTTAACCTCTCTGTGCCCTGGTTTCCTCCTCTATAAAATGAAGATAATGATAGTGTCTACCTCCTAGTCTTAAGCAATAAATATATTGATATATTTCATTGTATGTTATTTATTCTAAGACATGCATGTTTACATTTTAACATCTCTAAAATTGACGTGCATTTTATAATTGATAGTATGGCATAGTTTTCATTGTCTCAGTGGCACATCAAATAACGGTGCATCTCATGATTATTGATATCTTAGATGTGATGAAATTCAGCATACAAAGACCTTAGAAAAGTGCTTAGCACATAGAAAGTACTATATAAGTATTTGACAGGTGATATAAATATAAGTATCGAATATTGATATAGCTCTTCTAACCTCATCAGAACTGATCAATATAGCTCATTTTTAAAAAACTTGTCCAAGATGACAATGGCAAATAATGACATGATCGTCCTCATTTTCAAGGAAAGGAGAGATACTGCTCTTAAGACCTGGCTTAAGGTTAAAGGAGATTTCTAGTATCCATCCCTGTGTCCTGGCCAAGATCTCAGAAAGAGAATAAAACTGAGAGCCCCTAAGATGTGGATACTGTGGGCAGGCTAATAATTTGGTGCCCCTTTAGACTAATATTCTTTACCTAGATATTTATTGGAGAGACTGAGTGCTCAGAGAATGGCAGAGAAGTAGGGTCTCTGATGGTGGCACTCAGCAATCCAGCTGTGACCCCAAATGTGCACATACCAGGGAGCAAAACAAAAGCCCTGCCATTAACTGACTACTCTTCTTAGGAAGACAGCAAAAATTTAAAAATCAAAATACAGAGGTTTAAAATTAAATGTTCTGTACTCTCATATTAACAGTTAAATATATTATAAAATGGAACATGTATTCAGTAAGAAATAATATGCCAGGGATGCTCTTTTTAATTCCTTCTCTAATATGTAGCATTCACTCACATCTGCATGACTGTCAGCTAAATAAACTTTTCAGGGGTCCCAGAAGTTGGGCTGAATTAAGATAGGGAGTAGCTCAAGGGACCAGTCTCCAAGGGTCATGTTAGCACCACTGGAAATGTGATGATATTGCTTAAAATGTATTTATGGAATCTGTTCTAAGGAAGATTATATGATTGAAAACAATAATTTGATTAGCAGATCAAATTTTACACACTTTGGGAAGTGTGTAAAATCTCCAAAGGGATTTCTTAACCACTTTGGTACGAGCGTTGACTATAGTCGATAGCCACAGCTGAACGCACACAGCGACTTTAGCCGACAGCCACGATATGACTTTTCTAATTTTTCATTTATCAAAATAAAATTGTAGACATCTCTAAGAGCATGGTTAAAAGAAAAATAAATAAATAAATAAATAAATAAAATTGTGAACATTTAAAAATAACATAATAAAAACATATATGTATATGTTTCCTATTCTGATTGACACACAAGTAAAGCTGCCTGTAAAGTAAAACAAGCTTTCAGTGCTTTCAAGCTTTCCTCATCACACAAGAGCAAAATGGACTCGTGGTCAATGCACAGCACAAACTATCGTGCAGACTGTGAGTGCCGGCTGTGGGCAAGGTTCCAAAGTGGTTAGTAGCCAGGTGGCTACTTAAGTCATTTATGGAGGAGATTCCATAAATACATTTTAAGCAATATCATCACATTTCCAGTGGTGCTAACGTGACCCTTGGAGACTGGTCCCTTGAGCAACTCCCTATCTTAATTCAGCCCAACTTCTGGACCCCCTGAAATGTCTATTTAGCTGACAGTCATGCAGATGTGAGTGAATGCCACATATTTGAGAAGGAATTAAAAAGAGCATCCCTGGCATATTTTTTCTTACTGATTACATGTTCCATTTTATAATTTATTTAACTGTTAATATGAGAGTGTAGAGCATTTAATTTTAAACCTCTGTATTTACATTTTTAAATTTTTGCTTATTTTAATCTAAAATAAATTTATATTATTTTTATATAAATAAAAATGCGCCTTAGGTCTGTCTGTTAAGTGGGAATACTAATACCTACCTCCTGACACATCTCCTGAAATGAGAATGAAATGAGATAACCCATGCAAAGCACCTGACGTATAGCAACTTAATAAATGCTAGTCCTTTCTTCCGTCTCTATAAGGAGGTGGCCAGACTTTCATTTAGGAAAAAATAATTTACAATTATGAAAATCTGGAATTTGTGAAACAAGTATTTTAGGTCTCTGGTTTCTATTTTCAGAAAGATTAAACTCAATTTATAAACTGGTTAGCTGCAGGATTCAACCTGACAATTCAATTCCAAATCAAGACAGCACCTTTAAATCACAGAACATTTCCAACACAATGCGCTGTCTGAGACCAGACCCTTGATCCATTGCCTTTGATGAAATCTTAGGCAGTATTTTAATGCACCAGCACTGGGATCACTGTGGGCAGAAAACACTTGTTAATAACAATGTCCGTTACCACGTGGTGATGTGTAGGGTGTGACAGAGACAGATAGACACGTTGTCTACCATGGTGCACAACATTAACTGCCAGAAGAGTTCAGACAACTAAATACAGTTTGGGGGGAAAAAATCACATTGGCAGATATTAAGCAACACTTAAATTATCTTGTAGAGGTGAGATGAGAACATTCTGAAGATGAGGGAGTGGGAAAGAAAATCCCAGTGATTCCTGCTTAGACCCAGGAGGGTCATAGTTTGTACCCACCCTCCTCTGATTTCTCTAAAAAGACTCTATTGAGAAAAATAGAGCAGAAAGAACCATGACATTGAAGTGTCTACTAATTCCCTAGGCTTGCTACCTGGTTCCCCTGCATCATAAATTTGGCCACTAGTGGTGATTCTATGACTTGTCTTTTTCACCACAGACCTGGGTGTTATTGCTTGTGTTCCCATGAAGATGCCTCCTCTTGGTACTTTATACTCTGTCTCCTCCTCCCCCCACCAAGAGCTCTGCCTACATTTCCAATGGCACCTAGACTGCGCACTCAGTTCCTGGGTCTCTCACAGGCCTGTCCCCCCTCATCTTGCCCAACGCAGTGTGAGCCCCTGTCCCTTGCAGCAAGTTCTGCTAGTAAAGTCACTGGGCATTGGAGGCCTTTGTCTTTGCATTATTAATCTGCTCCCCATGTACCCAGGACCCAACAATGAAGGCATCTGTTGCCAATCTAATATTAGCAACAAACACAAGTCACATCATCTTGCATAAAAAGAATATTGAGGGAGAAACATTTGGTCACTAAGCAGAGACATGGCAGCATTAAACAAGGAGCTCTGTCAAATGCTGGGGCTGTCTATTATTCAGGGAAGGGAGGAGAGGAGGGGAGGGAGAAGACAGAAGAGTATAAACCTTCCTTTCTTTCCTTCTGCTCTGCTGTCCCAGGGAAATAAACATACTCTGCACAACTCCTACAGTATCTGGCCCCAGGTCAAGCGTAGAGGTCCACTGTGACCTTAGAAGGACACACAGAGGAGTTGGATGGTGCAGTCAGAAAGGGCCATGCCTGGGCCTTGGCATAGGATGGTCTGCCTTTGGCAGAGCATCTACCGAACTGACAAGTCCGGAACAAGTCACTTGAATTAAAAACCCTTGGCCACATGACTCAGAAGACTCCAGGTGTTTTACCTTTTCTACCAATGCCAAAGTAGACTGAGATCATTTAGCTTAGTCACCATGGCTTGGGGAACCTTCCCAACCCAAATGGGCTGTTTAGAACACAGGGCATGTCTCAGAGGTCAGTGGGCCAACTCTGGCCTCTAGAAATGTTTTATCTGGCCAGCAGGGCTTCTAACTTTTTTGAGTGAGCTGCCAACATTGAAAAAATCTGAAGATTTTTCTATACAATTTCAAATTTCTAGCTTCTCTTGAAAATTCAAAAAGCAGCAGCCACATAACCCTCATTCCCATAGCATGCTGTCAGCTGCCCCCACCCCCAGAGTCCTTGGCCTGGTGATGAGGCTCCAGGCATTGTCCTGACAGCAGCGCTCACTTACAGAACGGGCTTGAGCATGGTGGAAATTCGGATTTTCCACCAGGGGCCAAGCTGGGGTCTCACATAAAGAGGTCGAGAGATCTCTGCTGGGGTTTTCTCCAACCAAGCAAGCTCTGGGTGCTCTAAGCAGCAAGCAGGAGTGGAAGAAGCAAGAAGGATCCCATTCAAGGAAACACAAATTTCTACTTTGCAAACACCAAGCCCCATCAGCTCAGGAACTTGAGAGACACAGGCGGCCAATCCTGCTTGGATGCTGTGAGCTGCAGCAAAGAGAAACAGAAACGTTGGCCAACAAGCCTTCCCTGAGCCTTGTCACGTGTCCTGTTAGCTGGACTGAAAGCTGAGGAATGGTGGGGGCGGGGAGAGAAGAATGTGCCCTCTTCGTGTCCCTTTGTACTTCTACTTCCCTTTGGGCCTGAAAAGAAGGAAAACAAACCAGAACTCTCACTGGCAGTTGCTAAAGAAACTAAACTCCCATCTGCCCCAGCAGCCTAACTCCACACTGGCCCAGTGCTAGATGGGTGGGTGGTTCTCAACCTTGACTGAACATGCATGTCACCCAAGGAGCTTTTGAACTCTTGTACTTCAGCCAATTAACACAGAATTTCTGGGGGAAGGCGGGGATGGGAGCCTGGACATCAGCATGTTTCAAATATGATTCCAATGGGAAGTCAAGTTTGAGAGTGAGTGTGCCAGAGCAGCTTCTCAAACTTAAACTTGGCCATGACTCACCTGGGGATCTAATTAAAGACTAAAAATGCAGATCTGAGTCATAGGTCTGGGCTGGAGCCTGAGCCTCTGTGTGTCTACTAAGCTTGCAGGTGATGCCCGGGCCATAGGACCTGGTGATGCCCGGGCCATGGGATCCTGGTGATGCCCGGGCCATGGGATCCTGGTGATGCCCGGGCCATGGGATCCCAGCCCACACTTTGAATGGCAGAGCTAGGGCCCTTTCACTTTCTCCTCTTCTCAAGTACTTCAGTAAGGAAGACTGCAGGTTGGTCACCTGTAAGTCAGAAAGTAACAATAGTAATAACAATAAACATAATACTATTACTGTCAAAATAATAAAAATATAAATTTTGTAACAATAAAAAAAATCAATAAT